ACTGGTTCCCTATGGCTCCCAAGGATGGCGCTCGCTCGTGGCTCCTGAACTTTCCCGCGGGATCAATCTCCTCCTGGGGTGAGATGTGCAACCACTTCATCGCCAACTTTCAGGGCACTCGTGACTGCCCTACGGCCGCGGGTGACCTGCGCCGCATCAAGCAACAGCTGGGAGAGACCCTGCAGAAGTACATCCAGCGCTTCAACAGGGTTCGTCTCAAGATCCTAAAGGTGACGGACGAGGCCATCATCTCAGCATTTTCCGATAGCATCTGCGACATCAAGATGAAGGAGGAGCTCGCCATCCACGAGGAGCTATGCACGACTCTGGAGCTGTTCAACATAGCAACGAGGTGTGCAAGAGCTGAGGAGGGGCGTCCCTCCCTCCTCGAGCTCCCTGCTGCCGACCCAGAGGAGAAGAAGGCCAAGGTCAAGGACGTGAAGCGCAAGGGAGTAGCCGTACTCGCGGTAGAGCCGGACACGAAGCGCGGCGAGGACCATCCCGAGTCGTCCAAAAGCAGCCGACCATTCTGCACCTTCCACAACATGCACAGCCACAACACCAACGACTGTCAAGAGCTCAGGGCCATTCGACATGAACACTTCGATCGACTCCCCGAGCGCAACGACCGGGGCTACGGCTGAGGACGAGGACGAGGTGGAGGACGCTGGGACGACCATGGACCCCGCCAGGAGTGGCGCGACCGCCCTCATGAGGACCACTGGCAGGAGCAGCCTCAGGAGGGCGCCTAGCGTGACCAGCCTCGCAAGGACCGTCCTCAGGGCAATCCTGGCCTCCCTCCGCTGCGGCCACCACCAACAAGGAATGACGACCACCATCAGGACGAGGGGGCTGGGGGCTTCCAAGAGCCACGCGCCATCTCTTGCATCTTGGGTGGTGCTCAGGCCCCGGCTTCCCAGCACATCTTCAAGCAGTTCTCTCGCGAGGTGAATGCAGCCCTCCCCAGGCTCGAGGTCCAAGTACACCATCACCTTTAGTTCGGCGAACCAGCTCAAATGCGTGGCGACCGCCGGCGTCCTCCCGATGCTCTGCTCACCCATCATCAGCAATGTCCAAATCACCAAGACCCTCATCGACGGCGGCGCGGGGCTCAGTGTCCTGTCCATCAAGACGTTTGACAAACTTCAAGTACCCTATGATCAGCTGCAGCCTACTAAGCCCTTCTCAGGAGTGACCGACGGCTCCACCACCCCGATAGGGCAAGTTGATCTCCCTGCCACCTTCGTACAGCACGACAACTACCACACCGAGCTTGTCGACTTCGACGTCGTCCACATTGGCCTGCCGTACAATGCCATCCTTGGGTACCCAGCATTAGCCAAATTCATGGTAGTGACCCACCATGGCTACAACATCCTCAAGATGCCAAGAAGCGGCGGGATCATCACAGTCCCCTGTGAAGAAAGAGATGCGGTGTGCTCCCTCGAGCGCGCCTTCCAAGCCGCAGCAATCGAAGACCCTAACAGCGAGGGCACGCAGTACCCTCCTGAAGCCACCTCCAAGAAGAAGAAGCAGCTACTCCGCACAGGGCCTCAGGGGAGCGGCACCTCTAGCGGTGCCCCATCAGGATCGGCGCCCACACATTGGGCGCCTCCCTCCCTCGCATAGGAAGGAGCGCCTGGCGCCCTCGTCATGTAGGGCTCGGGGGCTCTCTTCCGGAGGTACTCAAACCTAGCCGACATCACGAGAGAGGCGCTTGGGCACCACATGGAGACGTGCTTCGCGGCACGTTTCCCTCAGGAGAGCACCCGGCGGGGAGCGCCCGACGCTCAAGAGTTCATCGTCAAGGCAACCCAGGAGCTTCAGGAAGCAAGGGCAATACGTGGCGACCGCCGACCACCTGGTGCAGCTCCCCATCCAGGCGAGGGTGGCGAGCTGCGCGTCTACATCAACATCCTAGGGCTCAACAGGGCCACATATCAGGAGCGCTTCTGCCTTCGCGCGCTGGCCGGTGTGAGGGTCCACCTCACAGCTACTTTTGCATGCCGTTTGGCCTGCCGAGCGTGGCAGCCGCCTTCCAGTGCAACCTACGGAGCATCCTGGCAACCCAGGAGGCCAGACGTCACGCGGTCCTGGCGGAGATGGAGACGGTCCTCAGGCAGCCACCTGAGCCCCTAGAGCCTCCCAAGGCTCAGGGTCTTGGTGGCTCGTGAGGAGCGACTTCTTCAGTGTGCGCCTTCAGCTACCCCAACGCTCCTTCGATAACAAAACCAGGTGACATTTTCCAAGTTCATTCAGCTGGGACCGCCCCTCGGGCTGCATTATTCCCAAGTCGCGTGGGCCTGTCCCTCCGGCGAGTATCCTTCCGCATTCTTTAGCTTACCTCACCGGGGGCGCCCCTCGGGCTGCATCATCCCCAGGCCGCTCGGGTCCGTCCTAGTGGCATGTATCATTTTCGCATCTATTTAAGCTAGCCCGTTCCCATGCATGAGTTATTTATAGTTATCACCTGCTTGATTGCCACCCACCACGGGAGTCGCGCGCCGATCGTTTTTCTTTAGGATCCTTCGAATGAAAAGACTAGGCACGACGCCTGTGCTCGGGTCCGTCCTTGCAGCATCGATAAACCCAACGGCTGAGCTCTATCTGGCGGGCCGGCACCGTTCACGTCACCTACTGGGGTCGTTGGTTCTTGGCCTCCTCATGCGATAGCCTCAAGAGATTCACTCAGCGCAGGTTGCCTAACCATCTTGCAGGACCACCACAGTCATCAAGTGCCAAGACCAGGCGCAACCCGCCTTGAAGTAGGGCATCGTGAGTCCCACGCTGGCTCACGAGTGCGCAGACACACCTCGTCCAGCTCTGCCGTGCAAGCCACGTATCAGGGCGGGGCTGTACATGCCCCGGGGGCTCCACTTAGAGGGAGCCCTCACCCACGCACTGGTGGAAGCACCATGCTCCGTGTTGGTAGTCGACACTGGCGAGGAGCGGTTATGCCCATGCAAGTGCGGAAGCGCTATGCTCTGCGCTGGTGATAAACAACTGAGGGCAGCCTCATGGCCGTATCAGCCTCAGGGAGCCTCTGAGCTCAGTGTCTGGCCTCATCACAACACCTCGCCTCGGGAGAGTCGCGCGAGGGGGTTGGGCACGGAGGCTGCGCTCGGGTTATGCCCGAGCATACGCCACCCGGACCGGTCCCTCGGACCTGGTCATCGCACGCCCTCCCAAGCGGAGCCAAGGTATGAAGGTCATTTGGACGTCAAGGGGGACTCCTGAGCATCGCGACTCAGGAGCCTAACTGGCCACGTAGCCCCTCACTCCTTGGTTTGTCCTGATGATCCGGACGGCCCAATGGCGACAGAGGTATGCGCGGGGTCAGGCCCTGCCAACATAGAACACTAGGCCTACTCTCGCATCTCCTTTCTATAAGCTATTTGCACATCAAGGGGGACTCCTGAGCATCGCGACTCAGGAGCCTAACTGGCCACGTAGCCCCTCACTCCTTGGTCCGTCCTAGTGATCCGGACGGCCCAATGGCGGCTGAGGTATGCGCGGGGTCGGGCCCTGCCGACGCAGAACACCAAAGCAAACGGAAAGGAAATCATATAATTTCAAACAAATATTACAAGACACACTATTCTCGAATACTAAAGACAAGTTTAAACGCCTCCATGAGGCATGGTTCATGTTGCAGAAGCAAAGCAGGAGAAGGAGCCGCCAGTAAGTCATCTCGTCATCCCTGGACACTGCCATCCCTTGCAAGAGGCATGGTTCAAGTTGTAGGTTCAGCAGCATCACCAGTTGGGGCGCAGGGTCGAAGGCGCGGAACTTCTCCAGCAAAGCCTCCACCTGGCCCTTCACGGCTTTGGCAGCACCTGCGTAGCGCTCGCCATCCACATGCTCCAGCAGCTCGTCAAGGTTGGCGTCAGGATAACGAAGATGGAGATGGCTGAAGACGCGCGTCAGCGCGACTAAGTAAAGTATGCGGGCTTCATCCTCCACCAAGGGACCGATCCCGTCCATGACATCCTCAAGCGCCGCGACCAGATGAGGAAGCAGCTGGGTGGGGCCCTCGTCGGCTGTCGCCAGCGGCTCCTCCAATCCCTTCTCGTAGAGTGCCCGCAGCGCCACGCGGGACCTCTCCTCAAGGGACTTGAAGGCCATGCGGTCCTCTGCTAGGACCTTCGCCTTGACTTCCAACTCGGCCTTCTCCGCCATCATTTTCTGCTCCAGCTTCTCCAGCCGGCTACACTCCACGGCCTGCACCTTCTCCAGCTGCTCCAGCTCGGCGCCGCGACCACTGACGGTGTCCTCCCGGGCCTTCATCATCTCCTCCTCCGCCTTGCTGTCTCAAGCTTCGATCACGCACTCGTTGCACACGGTCTCCAGCTCAGCCTCCAGCGACCAACAGCGATCCTTGGCGGCCCCGGTGTCCTTCAACGCCACCTCACGAGAAGCCACGGCTTGGGCGGCAGCCTTCTTGTCCTTCTTGGAGGCTGCCGCAGCTTGGCTCAATGCCGCCCGGACGGGCGCATCGCAGTGAGGCCAGCCAGAAATCAGCTCTAGGCGCCCAGCCACCAGGCGACGGTCGGTGCCCTAAAGATCCTCTTGCAGCAGGGTCAGTGCAGAGAGAGCGCGCTCTAGGACGTTAGGGCAGGTAGAAGGATCCAAGGTCAGCAGTGCGGCGGAAGGAGGAGGAGCCAACATCGTCACCATGGCCTAATAGGCTAGGAGCTCCTGAACTTGGGGGACCCCAGCAACCGAGCCGGACGTCGGCACCTTCGGAGCAAGCAGAGCTACGGGTGCTGCCTCCTCCGGAGGACACTCCCCCAAGTCTAGCGAGTACGATCGGGCCGGGGAAGAGCGAGCGCTCTCACTACCCTTCCACGTGGAGGAGGGTGTGGCCGCTGCAGGCAATTTGGTCCCGAGCAGTACCGCCGCTTCCTCCCTCTTCTTCGCCGCGGGCGTCGGCCTATTTGCGCAATAGAGAAGCATCAAGAATCAGCAGCAGAAGCAAGAACAAGGCAGGACAAGAATACTTACTGGTCCACCACGGCATAGTCTCTCCGCTTCCTAAGCTTGAAGCCTGAGAGCCTCGCAGCCTGATGCACGGGATTAATGTTGTTATTTTTTGCTCCTTTTATGAAGCTCGTAGCACAAACAAGTGCCTCAACCATTTTTGGGTGCAAAGAACTACGGTAGTCATCGAGAACTCTGCCTCCTGTAGAGAATGTTGACTGCGAAGAGACACTAGTTGCTGGTATGGTTAAGAACTTTCTTGCCATCTTTGCCATAATAGGATACCTATGAGCATTCAGCCGCCACCAATCAAGTAATCTGAAATTTCTATCAGCCATGGGATGAGTTTTGTCTTCAAGATAGTTGGTCAATTCCGACTAACATGGCTCTGAATTTGTCTCCTCAAGAAAGGACTGAAACCCACTCAATGTGGACATAGATGTAGCTTGTTACCTACTAGAATTTGCACTCTATTCATTGCCATTGGTTGCCTCCTGTTGTCGACCTTCCACCACATAGGTAGCATACAAGTCAAAGAACTCTGACTTGATGTCTTCTACCTCACGCATGCCTTTATCTCTGCCATACAACTCCTTAAAACAGTAATCAACAAGTTTCATCTTAAACGTAGGATCAAGAATGGTTGCAATGACCACAACATTGTTCTTCACCTGTTTTTGTCTTTCCCATTGTCACTATCATTCTCAACATAAGTACTATCCCAGTACTTATCAAACTTGTCAAGCATTGCCTTCCCCATTGCCTTCAAATTTGCATCATTCTTTTTTATGGCATGGTTGTTTACAGCAATCTTAACATTCATGATATATGGATAAAAGATATTGGTAGTAGGATAGCTAGATCCTGATAATACAGTGGTCACCTCAGCAAATGCTTTTAAGATTGGCTGAATATTACCATATAGTTTCCAATCTTCATTAGTAGGCTGCCATTTGTAATTAGGATCGGATTGACCATATTCATCCAAAGCCTCCCTATACAAAGTGCTAGCATCTAACATTCTATGAGTAGAACTCCATCTGGTTGATACATCTAGGCATAATCCTTTCCCAACTTCAACATTTAAAGATTCACAAACATTCAAGAAAATTTTCATGCATAATGGGGACTTTTTCAAGTACTTCACAGTCTCTCTGAGCTTGCCAATCAAAGGTTCCAGTGGTGCAATACCATCATTCACTATCAAATTGATTATGTGTGCACATCAGCGAACATGAAAGTACTTGGGAATGAATTTGTTTAATTTCCTAGATTTGAACTTGCACATCAAATTCTTAGCGGCAACATCATTTGAGGAAGCATTATCCATGGTCATTGTCATGATCTTGTCTTCTATTTTCCATTCTTGGCACATTGAAACACGGCTTGAGCTATGACAATGCCCGAGTGTGGTGGATCCAACTCTATGAAATTCAGAACACAGGATTGCATATTCCATTCATCATCTATGTAGTGAGCAACAAAAGCTAAATAGGACAGATTCTGGTTTGAAGTCCATAGATCACATGTCAAACTAATGCTTTCAACAGACTTGAGTTGCCTCTTCAAGATCTCTTTTTCAGATAAATATACCTTCATGCATTCAACTCTAATTGACTTCCTACCTATGAACTTGTATGATGCATTCATATAATTCATGAGGATATTAAACCAAGCATGCTCTACCATCCTAAAAGGGTACTCGTGCACACTTATCATCTTTGCTATTATCTTTCGGCATTCTTCATGATCATATTCATGATTCACTATAAGAGATGCACCAGGCTTTTCAGGATCAAAGCCAATTGTACCTTGATGTAGATGTTTTGCGTTCTGGTTTAGTATGATTGGACAAGCATCTATATGCCTGAGGAGATTAGTAGTTGATCCCCCATAACCAAAAAGCTCATAACAGTACAAGCATTTTGCCTTTGCAACAACTTCACCTGGCTTCTTCTTTGATACAGCTTTGACCTCTTTGAAATACTTCCAACATTTCGAACACTTAGCTCTGGTTCTCTTCTCTTTGGCCTTACCAGTAGCAACTTTTGTATTTTTCCTTTTCCCTGTTGTCTTTGGTATCCCAACAACACCAACCTCCACAATTTCAGTGGCATTTTGACCATCACCTAATCCAAGAGAAGGCTCAGACATTTCATCATCCATTTCATGACACCCATCATCAACATCAACCTCTATCCACTCATCGTCCTAAAAAATAATAATGAAACAACATGGTTAGACTAACAGATTGAACATTAATTCAGCCATGTTAGAATAAGATCAGATATGCTACTAATTGGACAAGTGGAACCAAAAATGGCATGCTTAATACTAGGTTAACACGCTAATAATTTTCTAAAATAAATGGAGGAAACATATGGGGCATTTCTTAACTTCAACACGTACTGATAACTTGTGCCAGTAATATTAAGCAAGAGTGTAAACTTGATCTATAACTCGATTACAAACTGACAAGTGACAATGGAGGCATGGAGCACTTTCATCATAAGTAACTGGCACACCTTTGATTATAAACACGATCTACAAATTACCAAGTGGTCAGCTTGGTAAGCTATCAACAAAAAAACACGATCTACAAATTTATTTTGGAACTCACCAATTCATCAGAAGCAGCGGCAGAATCAGCTGGATGCTTTGCCGCCATTGAAACAGCCGCCGACTACAGCGGCGTGCCAGAACCGGAAGTCATCTTGGACGCCAGCTTCTTCTGCTTATCCATCGCGCCGGCGAGCAAGGAAGAGGGTGTGCGCCTGTGCGACACATGGACAAGCAGGGAAGGGTGACGGTGAGCGGCCAGGCAGGAACAACAGATGTTGTGATGGTACTCGGCCGAAGTATGGAGGTCAGCAACGAACAAGAACGGTGCGTTCATCGGTCAGCAGAACCCTAGGGCGTCGCCATAGACCTGCGACTGCGATGGTTTGAGAATTGAGAAGATGAGAAGATGATGAGGATTTGCAGGCAGCATTACCGCAATATACATTAATCGCTCGCTCGCTTAGTCCTTCCTGCCTCCTCAAATCCTATGCCTCCTAGATGGGCTGCCACATTCATGTTAGATGGGCTACAAGCCCAACTCAAAAAGAAAAAAAATACTATGCTACCGAGCTTAAAGAGTAGCTCGTGAAACTCCCCAACTCTGTTGTTTAACTCGTTAATGTTAACGAGCTAAAATTGCTGATCTGCTCGGTTCGTTAAGAAAATGAGCCGAGCTCAAATGAGTTGAGTAGGCGAGCGCTCATTAAACTCGCCGAGCTTCGAGCTTTATGTCCAGCCCTAGATAATACTACCATGTTTGAACTGTTTGTTATGGTTCTTGTCCTCTGCTTCATCATGCCATGCTTCCCATCTGGCAAGATTTAGAACCAACAAATAAGATTCAAATAATAAGTACAACAAAGATGCCTACACATCTCATTAATTCCCAGCTTGCAAGATTCAGAACCAACTCATTAGAGCCTTTTTATAAAGTGAATATCGGGATTAAATCCATCTTGGCTAGCCATGTCATACAACCCAAGAACTTGGCGAATGCTCTTGACCATCGCAACATCTGTAGTTGAGTATTCCTGTTTGCACAGCACAGATAAGAAAGAGCATGATTACTATAATAGTGGAACTCCTAGAACTCAACCTGCAGCTCCACTCGATGATTCAATTCATGCGACTTTTTCTGCAGTTCACCTAAAATGAAGCAAAGATTGCATTATTTAGCTACCAAGAAGTACTTGCTCTCGTGAGCTGGCCGGTTCTTCTTTAGTAGTTGCACTAAAATTGAGCAACATTAAGGTTGGATGTCCTCCTCATGTAAGGTGCAACTATAATTTGCTTATCCTTTTGTGCACTTCCACCAAAATTGACAGATGTTTCCCTTACATTTTAGTTGAACTGCACAAGACACTCATTCCAAAAAAAAGTGATTTGTGTAGTTCAACAAAAGGTTAGAATAGCAACAACGTGAAATGGATATCCCTATCTGCACAAAAAGACAGAAAGAAAATAGTTGCTAGTCAATAACAAGATATGAAACATACGCGAAATGAAAAGAAGCATCTTGACTATGTTCATGGAAATCATGCAAGGATAGTATAAATTTTAAAACGTCAGCAATGCTTCATGTTACCGGGAGCATTACAATCAACAATGACATTCGTCAAATATGGGATTACTTTAATGGTGGCATTGCTTGTTTACTAGATATAGTAGATCAACAACAGCTAAAGAATTGGTTTAAGGGCATGGGATAGTGGGGACACCAGGACACTCAATAGCGTAAAGAACCAAGTTACTTATCATACTAGGGGAAACAATAGGAGTACCATTTGTAACATAGATTAACAATAACACTGGTTAGACATGTCCTTAAGGTAATAGTGTGATCGCTTCATTTTACATGCACCCTTACATTAAGAACAACAAAAGGTTGGTATAAGAACATGCGATAGTGGGCGCATCAGCACAATGTACCTACAAGGAGGCATAAAGTGGTGAGGCCGAGTTTGTTCATACTCTGTGAAGGCACCAAATCTAATCCTAGAGACCTTTTACTATGTGAGGGCAACATATCTAATCCCGGACATACTCTGTTGAGTTGTCCACCAGCCACCACTTTCTATCCTTTTTTCAACGAATAATAGATATGTTCCTTATCCAGTTTGTACTGCCTTTTCCCTTTATTTCCCTTTTGAACCAAGAGACCGGGTGGGTATCCAGTCTCTACTACTTTCCCCCCTATTATTTCCTCTTTGAATCAAGTCCTAGATTCATGCTATGACTTTCCCCCCTTTCTTCATTGTTTGAACCAAGTCCTAGATTCGACTGCATGGAGTAGCTTTACCTCCAATAATACTAAAAAATTAGGTGGCTTTCGAAGAGCTGATGGAAATAGAAAAAGATGCACATGCAGACATGTGGGGAGCTGAGGCAGTAGAGCAAGGCTGCTTTCGAAGAACTTATACCTAAGGGTCATCGGGATGTCAGTGGCGGCAGGTCGGATCTGCACACAATATGACAGGGAGGAAGAAGGGTCGGAGGACATCCTGAGCTGGCGCTGTGTCGGAGAGAACGGCACGGGCAGAGGATCGGGACTCACCTGTAGTTGTGGGTTTCCTCCCTCGACGACGATGACCACGTGAATGATGCACCTAGTCCTCTACACACACCGGCCGAAGGAAAGGGATCCGGCCAGATCTATGACCAGCGGTGAGCAGAGAGAAAATGTCGCTACTGCTGTCTTGCTTAG